TATATATATATATATATATATATATATATATATATATATATATATATATATATATATATAATTTAATTTTTAGAAAAAAATTGTTAGCACTGACCATGTAAACCTCACACCACCCAAGTTGACCCCCGCCCTGTTCAAGGCTCTAGTCCACACAGACACCTTGTTTAAAATGCAAGACCCTGACAGCTAGACCCTGTTTAGCAGGCCACAGTTGCTCAAAAGATGGATAGTGCTATCCACCAGATAAATCACTATCCAGAGGAGAAGTATGCGGGAAACCAATATCATTGCATTATTCAGTGGATAGACATTTATCCAGTGGATAGGGTTATCCACCCTTCGAACAAATGAAACCAGTACATCCTTGTTTAGGCCAAATAAGGGGGTGCCTTGGGATGTCACTAAGATTTCAAGTTGCTGGGTAAAAACAGAGAGTAGCAGAGTGGATCCAGATGTTCAGATAAGGGGGGGCCCGGTCATCCAGCCCCTGAGATAAAGGGGGGGGCTGGTCTCAAAAACAAATTTTTTCGGCCCTTTGGGCCTCAGTTTGGTCTAAAATTAAGGGGGGGCTTGGCCCCCTTGGGCCCCTCCCCTGAATCCACCACTGAGTAGGTGGGGGATCAAACAGCTAGGGATTTCTTTTGGTTCTATTTTTCTTCTATTTTGCTATGAAAGTAGCCAGGGGCCACTTTCATAATAGCTGGGGGAAATCCCTGGCCCCCTGCTCCTAATGACAACCCTGGGTGCCCATCCAGCAAAAGAGGTATGATCCATCCCAGTCCCCGTTATGTCATGATTATGTTGCATTAAATGTACTATCATCAAGTAATCTGGGGGAAGGGGGGTGTAATACTCCTTAGTGCTTCAAGAAACAGGGCAAGCTATTTACAGTTGGGTGGGGCTTTTATGACATTCACACCAACTCCTGAACATTAACAAGCTTGAAATGAATGAGCTCTTAAGAAGAAGAGAGGAGTATTAACGAACAATTGTTGCACTCACATGATTGGTTGCCTTTTGTTTTGAACAGAACACAGAAGGTATGCACTGGAGGTCCTTTGTCACATTCACCACTTAATTTTATTATGTAGCCAGAGTACAAAGATGGCATTTTTCCAGTCCACTGATGACACACAAATTAAAAGAAAAACAACAAAAATATTAGAGAAGTGGAGATTCTGGGATACTCCCCACTCACCCCTCCCCTAACACAATGCTAGTTCACTAACTTCTAGCTTAAGGCAACATAGTGTATAAGGGGAGGGGAGGGTCGACACTTCCTGTCGGTTAATTAAATTACGAAAAAGCATATACAGTTGTATATATATTTCATTATAACTAGTAATAACCAAAGGTTATGGGGTGTGGGTGACAATGACCAAAGGTCAAAATGCTCTTGGTCCAGTGCTGTGCTTTGCGTAAGTTTTACATGACAGAAAGTCAAAAGACGCATGATCAGATTAAGAGTGATAGAAGACTCAAACATGCGTGATCATGATGCATTCCATACATAATGTACATTCTTAGTGGAAGACCAAACGAATGCTGGCTACATACATCTGATGCATGCGTAATAACAACCTGGAGATTAATAAGCTCCTCTTGTCACCCACAAGAATTTAAACATTACACAAAACATAACATACCGCAAGGTTGGTATAGGGCCATTTAGGAATTCGTCTAATGTAAAATGTGTCTTTCTCTTTCCTGCCGAGATCCTTCCATAAATTCTGCTTAAGATACTGAGCGCCTGTAATATTACACTTATCTGACAAGGAACCATTCATGCCTTTAGAACCTTGTGCTTTGAGATTCAGCGTCAAAAGAGGTTGTGACTTAAGAATAGTTGCAAATGTCAGTGAACAATCTAAACAGAGAAAAGAAACTATGATTTTACCGTCATGTTTAGCTTTCCTACCTTTGAAAGGAAAAGTACAGAACGGAAATGCTTTATACAGATACATCTGGTTGTCACGCAATTCTGGAAGATTTGCGTGACGAGTGCTGTCCAGAGGCAAGGAAATGTATGTTTACATTGCGCAATAGTCTTCGATTAGACCAAGATGAATATACAGTAAATGAACTTGAAATGCGTTTATTAGGTGGATTATGAAAGGTAAATAAAATACACGTTGATGTAGTCTTATAAAAAAATTAAAAATCGCCTCTGAAAATAATTTTTCATTCTTCCCGACAGCGACAAACACGCCTTCACGCAAAGTGAAATTCTTAAAACCTCGTTTACAAAGATATAATATTCTTTTCCCTCCATCACAACGTTTTCTAAGTGCTATTAAACATTTTCTATGCACAAGCATACCGGATTTTTTAATAAAACAAAGAGCGCCAATACAGTCGAAAGCAAAATATTGCGAAACCCCTTACTTGCAAATGTTCGAAAAGAAGAATTTTCTACACAAGTTGCAGTTTTTGGAGAGGTACCCATTCGAAATGTTGAATGAGAATAAGTGCAACTACAAATACAGCATCCTAGATTACTACAATCTCCATTCCTGTCCAAACACCACTGCCTTCCATTGTCATTTCGCCGCGGACACTTTCCAAGAGGATCCATGTTCGTAAATAAGTCACGGCGGTCCCCGTGTATCACTCGTGTTACATTGAAGTGGAATCCTTCGCACGAGCGAAAGAGCAGCAAAAGGGTCAACACGAACCAATGTGGCATTCCAAAATTGCTAATTCCCATTCTCTTTCTTGGATTTTGAGCACCAAAATGGATTAGCGCCTAACAACAAAAAAATTGAAATATAATTCCTCCTTTCCGGAATCTGTAGATTCACGTCTATATCACGTGTCGTCTCTCTCCGAAGAATAGCGAAGCACTTTCCGAAGTAAGTCGAAATAATACGACGATGATTTGCAGTGTCCAATATGGCGGACAGCAGGGAAGAAGGCGAAAACATCGAAAAGGACGAACTGCAGAAACCAATGAAAGTTAATGGCAGATACGTTGATCCATGGGGGACTACACATTTTCCTTCAAAAACAGATGTGTTCAGATGGATGTTTAAAGAGAAAAATGAGCGTGGAATCGGAGGTGGTTTGAAAGATCTGTACCGCTTCAAAACGCAGGCAAGTTTATTTTATTGTTTGTTATTTTAGATCCAGTCTTGTTTGAAAAATGAAATGCAAAAGGATAATTTTTATGATTTTGTGGTCCAATCGTAGTCGCATAATTAACCGGGTTCCACCATGATTGTATTACGTAACAACATTTGGGAACACAGGAAATTGATGTGTTTTTGAAAGGAGAGAATTAGAACAAAATTTGTCATCCCCATTAATTTTCTGTTTTTGCAGTTCAAGTAGACAAGGTAATTATAGCCTTTTCTACAATTAATTTTTAAGACAGTTTCTCCTTTTAATTCTGTTTGTAATACAAATCCACAGGAGCTTGAAAGAACTCTTCCTGTCTTGACCCCTGACAGTAAAGCTTTGTCATCTCCCCCCACAGATGCCATTCAAGTGACCTGGCTAGGTCATGCCACTGTTTTGGTGCAAATGGACAATGTCAATATCTTAACTGACCCTAACTTAAATACGTATGCCGGGCCTAGCAAGTCATTAGGCATGAAGCGTTATCGACCACCTCCTTGTACAGTGGACGAACTACCAGTGATTCATGCAGTATGCATCAGTCATGATCACTATGACCACTTGGATGTCAAGTCTGTAATTGCCCTTAATCAGAGGTTTGGAAAAGATCTTTGCTGGTTTGTTCCCATGGGACTGAAAAACTGGATGAGTGAATGCGGGTGTCAAAACATCATTGAACTAGAATGGTGGGAGGAAGCTGAACTACCAGAGAAATCGCAAATTTTTCCAAAGTTTATCTTCACTCCCTCGCAGCACTGGTGTCGCAGATCATTGACGGATCGTAATAAAGTGTTATGGGGAAGTTGGACAATAATAGGGGCAAGACAAAGATTTTTCTTTGCTGGAGATTCTGGATATTGCAGAGGCTTCAAGCAGATTGGAATGAAGTATGGACCATTTGATTTTGCTGCCATACCTATTGGAGCATATAAGCCAAGGTCAGTGTCCAGGGCTGTGCTCTAGCAGAGCCTGGTGGCCCCTGGCACCTAACTTTTGCTCTTGGGCGACTAGAAAATCTTACTTTTTTCATACAAATCACATGCATGGGCTCTCTTCAATTTAATTTAGAGCACAGAGCTCTTTGGTGTCATTTCCAAACAAAAAAAAAAACCCTTACCAAAAGGGAGAGAGAAGAGAGGTAATTTTTGTTTCGTAATTCCACTGGCTGTCAGTGAAGCAATAACTTTATTTGGGTCTCGCTGTTCTAGTATTTAATGGCATAACAGAATGCGTCCCAGTGTTCCCAACATATATGAGCTCATAAGAAGGACAGCCGTCTTGACAATGACAACCAAAAACTCAGAAATGTTATACATGCTACTCCTCCATACTGCCCAAGTTCCTTTCAGTATAGGACAACCTCTCTTTGGAATAAATATTGCAGCCAGAACTCAAGCTGAGCAAATCCATTGCTGATATTAAGCGTCAACTTTATAGGTGACTGCTTATGGATGTCTCCTTAATGTAGTTATCAAAATTTTTTTTACTCACCATGGTGACCTAAACGGTTGCAGCTTGGAGTACTGCCTTGTTTAACGTTGATGTTTTTCATTTCCAGGTGGTTTCTACAATTCCAACATGTAGATCCTGTGGAAGCTGTCTGTATTCATGAAGATCTTCAGTCTCGTCATTCATTAGGAATTCACTGGGGCACCTTCCCAACAGGAAAAGAGGTATGTTACAGCTGTACAAATGGACACGTTACATGTATATTTCTCCTGGGAATTTTTCGTGGGGGTGTCCCGCCTGGTTCTCCAAACCCTGACCCTATTTCAGACCAAAATATGTTATTTGCCACACCTATTTTCAGACCTGGCCTCTAAAATCCGTACCCGTTTTCCGACCTGGAGGTGGCAAAATCTATACACGTTTTCAGACCAAAATGGCACAAAAACACATACCTATATGGCTATGGACCCCCCCCCCCTAGGCCTTAGGTCACTCCACTAGCTCTGAGCTATCAGATAACACTTCCTCATGCCCTTAAATAGGGCACCATCAAATTCTTTTAAGTTTTAAACATAATGTTTATTGTGTATCAAGAAACTTCTTTGCAGCCCAATCTCACTGAAAATGATTATAATAAATATTATAAATTGACATTTAGCACTGGTCTTTGTTTCTCAATGTTTCATTTACAACTTTTGCTACTATAATTTCTAATGACACCACAATAACACTTTTTTTTTTTTTTTTTTTCTTAATTTGGCAGCATTATTTGGATCCACCTAAAGATCTTAAAGAAGCTCTCAAGTGTAAAGGGATTCCTGACTCATGCTTTTTCACCTTAAAACATGGAGAAACCAAGGTCATAAAATAACCTTAAAAGCAAAAATAGACAATGAAACTGCTTGAAAAGCAGTAAACTAGGAATGTTGAAACACTTTGAAAATTTTGTCGTTATTACAGTGTACAGGTATTTATTTATTAAATTTTATTCATTCATTAAAAATACTCAAAGAGCTTCAACAACCAGAGTCACAAGTCTGCTGTGTTTTTTATTAACTTTATGATATAATTGACTTTATTTTATAATGTCAGGGAAGGTTACTAATGGCTTTGCATACAGTGTAGCAAGTACATCGTAGAATGTATTCACCTGCAAAGATCAAGAACACTCTAAGTACATTATAATGGACCACGAAAGAGTTGCTAAATAGCTTGCAAAATTGAATTGTTAAATTGATTAAAGCAGGTAAACTCAGAATAGTTCATAAACATACAACCTGTACTCTACCGTTGTATCAAAAAGCAATAAATAGAAAATACCCAAGTGATTTGAGTTAGACTGTTTTCCTTGTTGTTTTTTACTTGATATACCTGTATCTTTTCTTTTCAAACTCAATTATAATTCAGCAAGAGACAAAAAATGGAAATTGATATCAGATACATTCAAACCTCCCTTACCGGATACCCACATAAAGGGACTGGTTCACAATTAAGCACATGCTCATTAATTAAGTTACTTTTTTTCCATTTGTTATTAATTCTATTGGTAAATAATTCCACTCACATGTATCTCAGAAATCTCAGAGTGTATTTCAAAGTAGAAGTGTATTTCAGAGTAACCTGAAGTAGGATTGAGGAGCACTAAAATCACAGAAAAAATTAGTGGGTTATGCCAACACTACCAACATTGAATTTATTGTTGACCCGAAGGTTTTATTCCATGGTTGATTAATTTACAGTTATTTGTACATAAGTTGATCAAGTGACTGCCAGAGGAATGTGCAGATTGGTTCTTTGACAACATTATGACATGATCATGTTGCTTGTATAGACGACACAGCATGTTGCGGTAGAAAAACAGCATTTTGATAAATGAGCATGCGCTGAACCGTGAACCTGTCCCTTTAATAAACACAGCTTGTTAGTAAGGCCACTTTCCTTTATCCATGGGAGAAAGTAAGCCCTCACATTTCAAACTTCATCGATTTCAGTTAATTTCATTTAATTTGTCAAACATTGGCGAAATTTCTGGGGTTGAATCCAAAAGGATGGAAACGAAAAGAAAATTTTTATGTTGTGTTCACCTGCTCCATAAAGCGGGCGTGTGAAATTAGGAAGTTTCATGTCGCAGTTGTGCAATGACGGCTAAACAATGTACAAAAAAGGGTGATGCAAAGTTGTTGTTTTGCTAATTTAAATCTATTGCTTTTTTGCCGTTCTTGTTGCTGACGCCATCGCCGTTACTTAAGCTCCCTATTGTTGTCATCTAAAAATTTTGCTACCATGGTAACGTGACATCACACTTCTTCTCTCTATTGCTAAGAAGAATTAGTTATAACTCTTTTCACAAACATGCGAACTCTAAAGTTTAAAAGCCGCCTTCACAATTGCGTTTTTTGCTGCCATCAATCATTATTACAATCACAAGCAACAAACCTTGAAACACAGAAACACACCAAACGGATCAAAATCCACCAATCACAAACGATGACCTTTTGAACCCATTGAAGTAAAGTTTTGTTTCCTAAGAGGTCCAAAAGAAGATTGACAGCAGCAAAAAACGCAATCGTCAGTTAGCTTTTGAACTTCAGAATTCACATGTTTTTGAAAACTGCAGTAATTTCATTTTGAAGTTTCACACAGTTGCATTGTGCAACACTTGATGTTTTTTAAATCATTTACAAAAACAGTAACTGACTTAAGACAAGGTACTGAAGAAGCCAAAACAAAAAGGACACTTAGTTATTGCCTCTAAGAGGCCACACATCCATGGAGATAGCTCAGGGTGTGGCATTGAAACACATCGACTACAGTCCTGACAACGCTTATGAAAGAGTTCAGAACAAACAGTGAATTTTGCGCAACACCGCTGCCACTTGTGTCCATTTCTACAAGTTCCGTACTCCATGTTCTCCATAGGAATGTCACTCTCACAGATCGGGCATTTCTCCCTTGCTGGCAAACTGATCTGGTCTTTCAATCCTCCTGCCAACGTAGGGGTCAAGGAAGGACCAGGGTTTGCTTCCATCGGTTGAGCTGCAGCTCCTCTTCCATCATCAGCTTCAGTGCTGTTCTGCAGGGCAATGTTTTGCTCTTGGGGGTCATTGGCATTCTTTGCATGCAAAAGATCTTCACCATTTCTCTTACTTTGCACCTGAAGTCCTGAAGTGGCTTTCAAGC